AATATTTGTGTGGCATTTTTGTCATGACATCATTGACTGGCTTCTGAGAAATATTTACTTTGTTGGCTACAATATTTAAGAATAATTTCGGTGTTTTTGCTTTTGTGTGGGATTTTTGCGGTTGTTTGCTCTCCCAGATGTTAGAACTTGTTCTTGAAGTGTGATGGCTGAATCATCCCAGGACATGGAAACTCCAGATGCCTGCATGTAGCCAACACTTGCAAACCAGTGTGTGTATACATGATAGTCTTACCACTCTCACTTTCACTTATACTTAGATAAAAGCATTTTTACTTTAAAACTTTTACTGACATACGTTTGAGTGCACAACTAGGCCTACATCACTGAAATTATTTTTAAATATTGTAGCCAACACACAGTAAATCATTCTCAGAAGTCAGTCAATGATGTCATTTCATTTCACAAGACAAAAATGCCACAAAAATATTTACTTTTGGATTTAAATTGTATTATTACACATCTGGCACTATAGCAACATCGAGGTCATGGGTTTGATTCCAAGGGAGAGCATGACCCGATAAAATGCGTAAACTTGAAGTTGCTTCAGATAAAAGTGTCTGCCAAATGCCTTAATTACTAATGGTTTCAGAAATAAACTTTTCAGTTATGTAATGATTTGCATCGGTAAAGATAACTGTCTATCCAAATAATCATGGCTGTCTTTAAGACATCTGATTTCCCAGAAACAGTTGTGCAATAGGAAGAAGAAACAAAATATTTATGGCACAGCACAGCTGGAAAACTCCATGTCCAACCCCTTAATGACCAATGAATACAGCTTGGGAAAAACCTGACTCAGCCAAAAGACACAAGCAAGATAATGTCTCAACGTCACAGTGTAAGAATGCTGTGCTTAAGAGGTTTTAGTTTACACTCTTTATGTGCAGAAATCCTATTATATCTGTATGGGATGTTTTTTTAATATTTCTAATGAGGGGGATATTAAAAGGAATAGCTCACACAAAAAAAATTTGCTTAAAGTTTACTCACCCTCAGGCCATCCAAGACTTAGATGAGTTTGTTTCTTTATCAGAACAGATTTGGAGAAATTCAGCATTAGTTCACTTGCTCGCCAAAGGATCCTCTGCAGTGAATGGGTGCCGTCAGAATGAGAGTCCAAACGGCTGATAAAAACATCACAATTATCCACACCAGTCCAGTCCATCAGTTAATGTCTTGTGAAGTGAAATGACACAAGCTTGTAAGAAAAAAAAAAAAATTACATCAAAGCGTTTACCTTTAAACCGCTTCTTCTGGCCAAAATACGAGTCCATAATCTATAATAACGCTTCCTCTAGTGAAAACGTAGTCCTCTCAACTATCTAACAGTGCATATTTCTCTTCTGATTCATAAAACTTTTTCACTGGAAAAAGAAACATTATGGATGGATGTTTTTTTTTTTACAAACACAGCTTTTTGTTTCACAAGATGTTAACAGATTCTGCAGTCATCAAGCTTTTGGTCACCAATATTTAGCAAAATGTGTGTATTTACAGACAACTGATTTCAGGTCTTCAGCCAACACTTCCATTCACATAAACAGGCAGAAATTGAGCGGCATCAACACAGCAGTAAAAACATAACGCACAATGTCTAAGTATCTGACTAAGTGGTATGGAATTTACTTTTATCCTACCAATAATAACTGGTCGTTATGAACGGTACACCTACATTTTCATTCCCCGAACAAAGGTTTGAACATGACTGACAACATTCATAAGAGTGTCTCCAGGTAATTAAAGCTCTGTAATTTTCATATTACATAGAGAAAAGGAAGAAAGTATTAAAAAAGCTCAAGGTATTCACATCTTTTAAACAAATGACCATGAGTGCAGTTGTCTGTGGGCTCTTGGGTGTGAACGTGGCGTACAGACTCCCATTACTCGTCCTATTCCACATTATAAACCTCATTTGAACTTTCTGAAATGACCAAGCAAGCAGAAATCATTTTGTAATAAACTTTATTTTGGTCCCGAGGAGACAGATTAGTCAAAGAGTCCGAAACCCATGTCATCTTCGGATTCTTCAGACTCCTCTTTCTTCTCTTCTTTCTTCTCCTCCGCTGCAGGAAAAAGAAAAGGAATAAAGACATTAACATTACAGAACCTACAGGAAACCAATCAACCGTTCACAATCATCGGTCCATAACAAAAGCATAAGACAATAATGACATATTTCAAACAGTCACAGCATGCTACATTTCCTCCCTTAATGAGTAGTTCATGCTAATTTCACTGAGGTTTATCTACTTGCCCATAACTGATATTTGGTTGAAATGACGGTTGACTGAAAATGAAAATGGTTGACTTTTAAGAGCAAATACATATAGACTGAAAAGTCCTGAGCTGTATCGTCCAACTCTATTAGAGAGTCCGTGAGAGGCATAAGGAAGAAGGCACTGACCTGCAGGGGCGGCAGCAGATCCTCCAGCAGACGGGGCAACAGCACTGGATGCAGCACCAGCACCACCGGACGGCACGCTGGCCAGCTTACTGAAACCTGTCAGACGCACACAAACACAGACTCTGAGACATGCTCGTGTAGATGCTCACACTCCTAAAAATCTCTCTTTTCTAATCCATGATGCTTATTTGTGACCCTGGACCACAAAACCAGTCATAAGGGTCAATTTCTCGAAATTGAGGACGCGTTTCAGAAAGGCGGGGCATAGAGGAGAAACAATAATGTACAGTTTGTGGAAAATAATGTGTTTTCTGAACTTTAAACCGCATAAACATTTCATTACACCAACTACACAAAATAATGTTCTTTTTAGCAACATCATATGACCCCTTTAATGGATTCAACATGTAGGAAACTGGCAGTTTACACATATTGACAGCTGGGTGTCCCAATGATATTATCAAATAATACTGCGAAATTTAAAATAACATTAATTTCACGCAATATTTATTCAATTTACTAAACATGTTTTTTAAATAATGAAAATGCATCAAATGTTTACACAAAAACGTCTACTAACTATTTGAGCACTACTTGCTTTTTTTTATTTAAAAGCGCAAGAGGGGAATTTAGCGTAACGTTACTGAAGCTAAAACAACTAACGTTATGGCATTTTTTTTACTAGTAATTGAGAGATAAGCCACATGGCTGAGTGCACTAGTTAGCGGCCTTTGTGTCAACGTTAGATCAATCTGAGCTTCTGTATTACATCAGTCTCGCAAACGAAGGATCGAGGGACTTATCGTTTCAAATACATGCATCATTTGCTCATTCGACGTTTGTGTGTGCTTGTTAAATCAGTGTTTTTAGTCACTCACTTTGCGGAGAGAGAGAGTCTCGCGTGTTCACTAGCGGTCTCGTGCGGGCAGAAAGGAAGCGGAAAGGTGGCGAAAACCGGAAATACGACACGCTCGATGGCGTCACCGGCGAGGAGCGAATCGAAAGGCTGAAAAGCACGTCAATCACGAGGGTGAGGGAGGAGCCTCTTGTTTTCCCCCACTGATTTTTGGATGGGATATTGATATTATGAATAAATAAATGCCGCACAATTTTATACAATATATTACGACGAAAAAAAAAATGTAAAAGAGAAACAATAAAAAAGTATTTTACTTTTGTGCTCAATCAATAATAGATCAGTGCGCCCAGTGGACATGACATAGAAATCGTAATTTTTTTTATTTTTTATAAAATGTTATATTTAGGAAACATAAATCATTAAAAAAAAAAAAAACTTGGCAACAAAAATACAGAGTCTTCTGTCATGCATGCACGTCCACTGTTGCTCATTGTTAGTGGACAAATTAATATAGTGAGAGTGTGGTAAGTATGTTGTTATTGTGTGTGTGTTTTTAATTATTATTATAAAAGTTGCAAAATTGGCCATTATTGTGATCAATTCCAAATGATTTAGTTTTTACACCATTTAAGCCATCGAATGTGCCACTAGTCTACCAATAAAACATGCCAGCAGAGGTCATTGTTTATCATGAGCATATAAACCAAATATATAAAGTGACTGAGATACAGCTCACATGCACCAGTAGCCTACTCTCACCTCATCTCATCTCATCAGTGGATTTATAAGGTAAACATATCGTATTATTTAATACAGATTTGAACAGTGTACAGTGTATTTGAACAGTGCTTACAATTGCACTGTTTTTTAAACAACAAACTTGAAAGTAATTAAATATTTGGAGGGTATTCTTGCCACAGTACAAGTATGCTATATGCACAATCACATCCACAGACAAGTCAGAAAATCACTTTTATATTAAAATGCAAAAATCGCACCCTGGAAATGAGTTTCAGGAGGATTTTTACCTTTATGAGAACATTATTTTCTAACTAAGTGAAAACACAAGTTTAGCTGTAGCCTAAATAATGCTCAAGATAGTATAATACAGCAGACATTCTTCTAGAACAGGCAAACTGGCCTGTGTCGTTGTTAGATATAAGGCTGTCTGTAACTGCATTTCAATCTGTTCATCACACAAAGCTGTTTTAGAAGTTGTATGGTATTATTTTGTCCTTTTTGGAGTTTGACAGTGTAAATTACATCCACCTTCACTGCAAAAGAACAGTTCATACATTCTGCCTATAACATCTCCTTTTGTTTCCTAGAATAAAGAAAGCAATTTCATTTAAAAAGGCAGAATAATGACAGAGTTTTCATATTCTGGGTAAACTATCCAAGTGCATCAGCGATAAAATCCTAATAAAAAGGTCTCTGACAGACAGAAAAAGGGTGAGAATGTGAGTAATGTAAAGAGCACATCAGACTGTCTGATATTAGTAATGATGTTAGTGTGAGAGGTGGATTTGAAGATGACAGAAAGACAAATATGTGACAGATGAATGATAATAAAGCAGCAAAGGGATAGTTCATCCAAAATTGAAAATTCAATCATCATTTATTTTCCTTCATGTTGTTCAAACCCAGATGACATTCTTTTTAGAAATGCAAAAGGTGTTGTTTGACAGGATGTCCTGACTGCTGTTTTCAAAGTTGTTTATTGTCATATGTACAAGTACTACGAAGTACAATGTTAATTGTATGCTTACTTGAATGCTTCTCCACAGACCATAGACAAAACAGAATACAATATACATTACTGTTATGTGATGACAAACATAAATAACAATAAACAAATAAAAAAATTATTTTCCATAATAACAATAGTGTAATGATTAATAATTATTATTTATTATTATTTTCCATACAATGAAAGTGAATCGACTGTCCAAAATGAAAGGTCTATAAGACCTAAATGCTATACCAAGCTCCCTGAACTACAGGTGCATCTCAATAAATTAGAATGTCGTGGAAAA